CACAAGTACACAATACACATAGAAGTAGTGCTGAAGAATTTGAATAAACATAACAAAACGTGCCAAGGCACTTCATTAACAAGACAAAAAGAGGCCATAGTTTGATGGCTCCATGCTTTTGTCGCCATTGTAGTCACTCCGGTGACCACATCTGCTCTCGTGTATGTGCATTTTTTTGTATGACTATCTTTTGTGGTATCTTTTGTTACTATTATGTGTATTTTTGCGGTATCTTTTGTTACTATTATGTGTATTTTTGCGTATTTCAGTGGTGTAATATCATTGTGTGTTTAATTTTAACAATTTTAATTTAGGAGCTTTAATATTTGTATTTATTTCAATTTGGTACTATATGACGACATAATAATGGAGGTTAATTTCTGAAATTTGCGTTGTCATGTCTCAATTTTCTTAAAACTCAGGAAGTTTAATGTGAAAATAATGCGTAAAAACGTATATAGTGGGTAGAGTTACATATCCAAACTCGCATATTCAAAAGCACACATACAAATACAAACAATCAAATACACACACACACACACACAATGGCACGCACGCGCTGATACAAAAACATTCATTCTCAAAATAAACATAATTTGTTATGTGCGTGTTTGTTGAATGGCGTAGAGAGGGAACTCTGCATTATCACATCTCAAAGTGTGTGTGTGTACAATTACTGATGATGTCTCCATGCATTGAAAAGGTTGTCAATCGCTGTTTTAATGAAAGACAGGTTCGTTGATATGTTCAAACAGAAATTGGCACACATGTTTCTCAAACATTAATCACATTTTGAATAAATTTTGAATTGGATGAAAAAATTATTTTTTTAAACCTCGTGTCATGGCCCCAGTCTATGTATTTGAAGCGGAAAAGGAAACGATTATGTTGTAATTACCGTCGAACTTAAAAATGCTCTTTTGAGAATAATTTGAAGTTTATTGGATGAAAGGAAATAATTATGAAGCAGATTGCAATGTACCCTCTCAGTCGAGCGCCATTTTGTTTGAGGGTGTGTTTTTAATTTAAAAACTTTAATTTCATCTGACGACAAATAGACTGAGATTTTGCTTTTGCTTAAATAGAACGAAAATAAGAAAATCACGGTAAAAAGTTTTAGGGGTTTTTCTCCACCTTGCCACATTTGACGTCATGAATACGTGCAAAGGACCAAAAATGAATGCTATGTCCAAGTCCATGCAGTTGTGTGACCGTTACTGCATGCTGTAGCAAGTGTGCTTTTTGATGACTATTGTTTATTATAATATTATTATATATTCATAATTTTTTTGCTGCTATATATGCATTTTTGTGTGTTAGTTTAATATTACGTGTGTGCATGTGTGTTTGTGCATGCATGTGTGTGTGTTTGTGTGTGTATGTGTGTATGTGTACGTGTGTGTGTGTGTGTGTTTGTGTGGTGTGTGTGTGTGTTCATTTCGCGGTCGTACCATTATTTAAAATTTCATAAATGATGAGACTGAATCTTCCAGGGATAATTTAGAATAGATTAAAAAATGTTTCGCAAGCAAACTTCAGCGATAAGTTTGTAGGTAGGTTTTATTTTCTGAAACTTATTTCTTCCTAACGTCACGAACATTATGAATTGTTTAGCATATGAACTGTTTGCCACATGAACAATTCACCGTATGAACAATTCACCGTATGAACAATTCACCGTATGAACAATTGTAATGTGTGAGCTTTTATTTTAAACAAACAAGTAAATCGATGAAAAAAAACAAATTTAAAAGGTGAAAAATTTATCAAAGTCGTTCATTTCTTTGCTTGACGAAACCAGAAACAACGAAACTGTTTTTATTGAATCCTTAAAAATCAATTTCTCACACCCTTGAGTGTATATATTTCTGTATGTCCAAATGTACACGTCTGTCCTTTTGTGTATATTATTGTGGATTGTGTTGGGAGTTTTCATATAGGATAAATTAATCAATAATAAATATATAAAAATAGTTTTGTGTGTTTGCGTGTGTGTGGGTTTTTTATAATTTGATTAGCATCATGGTGTTGTCTACCGTTATAACACACACACGACATACACACACCACACACACACACACACACACACACACAAACACATTTATGTGTTCATTATCTGTGAAGGCATCACGAATAGAATGAAAGGTTGGGTAAAGAAGATAGAGAGATAGAGGTAAAAAAGGAAGAAGAAAAAGAAAGAAAACGAAAGAGAGAGAGAGAGAGAGAGAGAAAGAGAAAAAAGAGAGAGAGAGGAAGAGATTGGGAGAAAATGAGAAAAAGTATCAAGCTTTAAGGCATCCATCAACTGAGCATGTGCAAGTTTTTTCTATCCGTTGACTTGTAAACAAACAATATGTGACTAAGCGTTTGTACGTGCGTGTGTGTGTATGTGTGTGTGTTTGTTTGTTTGTTTGGTTTATACGTGATGATATCGTAACCGTGTGAGTGTTTGTGAATAAGTGTGTTTATTAGGATTTGTCATAAGTGGGTTGTGTATAATGTATATTCTTTTCTAATTTTTTGATGTGTTTTTTTCACATTTATAGAAGGAAGGTTTCCTAATATTTTGAGAAAACTGCACAGACGTATTTGTTAGCGTTCGGTGTCACAAATTTTATTCTCATCCAAAGATAGGTTGTCGTGTAATTGTCTCGACGTTGCGTGCCATCGTTTCGAGGAAAAAAAATTTGTCCTTGTAACTCAATTATGATCTTTTGTTAAGTTTTTGAGTGAATCGGCATACATATGTTAAGTGTTTAGATGCACTTTTGAAGTTCATAAATTTCTATTTTGAATTAGTCACAGAATTTACTAAAAAAATAAAATCAGGTTTGAATTATTACTGCTAGTATGACAATTTTTCAATACAATATCTTGATAATATCTTGATAGATTAGTGCTGCATGTGTGTGTGTGTGTGTGTGTGTGTGTGAGTGTATGTGTGATTAATTGGGATTGATACACGTTTTGTTATTTTCATGGTATTTACAAAAGGTATTTGTATACGGTTAATACCAAAGGAACGAACAAACCCACACAGAAACAACATTTTTGCAAGGCAAACACACGCATACGCAGTGAATGCCATACAGAGCAATGAATAATTGCGTGAATAAAAACGCGTAAAGCACCTGGATGTACCCGTCAAAGATGAAAAGCTACGCAGAGCAGCTCACATAATAAAACATGAGAAAAACATTCAAACCAACACACACACATGCACAAGCAAACATACACACACACACACAGGTATCAAGACAGAAACATACAAAATAAATTTTGCCAGATACATTCAAGCCTAACCTTACACTAAAAAGCTCACTAACCCGCAAATGCACACGCACGTAGCACAAGTTCTGGCTAATAATAAATATTTGAAAAATTACATTTAAGAAAAAATTTTATTCACAACCTAAAAACACTCCTAAATTTATATAAAACTGCATAGCGCATGAATAACACACGCACAAACACAAACATGCACACACACATATCCAGACACACACACGCACACACACGCACACAAATAGATACACATCACGTACAATCTTGCAATCTAATAAGGCTCTGTGTCGTAAAATACATCATTGTCGAGGACTGTTATCAACATTAAGATCTTTATCATCATTGTCATCTTTTATCATCATGTTTTATCATCATCATCATCTTTGTCATCTTCATAAATATCATAGTAAAATTGTCATCATTATCATCAAGATCAGCGAAGTTATCATTACCAAAAACCATCATCTAGAGGACAAACTTGATCATCATCATTATCTTCGTCAACATCCAGCATCATCATCAGCATAACCCTGACTGCCTCAAGTAATATCAACAACTTTATTATATTCCTTATAACATTATTATTTCCATCCAGTCTTTCATCACCCAGCCCATCATCATCATCACGTTCTCCACATTTTGTTGTTGCTAGCCAAAACTGTTTGCTTGGTGTTATGATGTTTTTTGTCCAACAAATGTTATCATCAAAACCATTATCACCATCATCATCAGAACGATCATTATTATCATCCCGTCATCACTGCCATCATCATCATTAACACCATCATCATCATCATCATCATCATCATCCTCATCAACATCGTCATCATCATCATTATTATTAAAATTACCATCATCCTCATCATCGTCGTCGTTTTCACCACCACCTCATTCCATGCATTTTAATTATTTTACATATTTTATCATTATTTCAGCCGGTAAGGACCACTGACAAACATTTACCATTCCCGCCATCACACTGACTGTAGTAGAGCTACTTACTGGCATTTATCGGTACATGATGGTACTTAAAAATACCTAAAGGTACCTCACAGTACCGTTTTTGTCTTTATTGCTGGCGTTTGTAGTACAATGTTATTTTGGTTTATACGGCATATAATACGGCCGTTACACTGCAATATCCTTTATAATTGCGGTATTGTTTTTGTGTTGGATAATTCAATTAATATGGGTGTCCTACTACTATTGCTACTGCTACAACTACTGCTACTGCTGGTACTACTGCTGCTATTGCCGCTGTTACTTCTGCTGCTATCATTGCTGCTTCAGCAACTGCATACTCATCATCACCATCGCCGTCATCATCACCTTTGTCCTCATCTGTCTCCATCTTAGTCATCATTATTCGTTGGAAAATATTTTGTTCGTGTAACTACTACTACCGATATTATTGTTAATTCATCATTCATCATTTTGGGAACTTTACTCAAAACTTTTGTGGATTACTCAATGATAATTTTATGCACTTTCGCCCTTAATGAATATTTTAGTTGAATATTAAATTAATAATATCGTTTGTTAATCATACTCTAGATGCTGCTTGTCCAGTTTGAAGTTGTCGTGAAAGTTTTGTTAATTTTATTTCAACGCATGTCCTGGCAAGTATTTAATGACTTTTATTACTATAAACTGTCTAAAGAAATTAAAAAATGTTAAAAAAATGTTGAAATGCTTAATTTGTTTGAATTTTTCTGAAAAATGGATTATTAATAATAAATTTTTAAGAAATATATTGAATGGTAAAAATTGTTTTGGTCAAAGAAGTACGGTGAAAATATAAAAATATACATGTAAGCATCGTTATATATCTGGAGAAAAAGGGAAAAACATTTAATTAATTTTTTCGCCTTAGTTAACAAGACAAGTTAATTTCTAAATTGAAATATCAGTGTACGCAAGTTTGAAACTTAGTTTTGAAGTAAATTTTGAAAATTTAGATGAACATGCTCATGCTGTAGACGAATATAAAGAATACGTTGAAGAAAAGCAGAAATCCTTTGCTATCAATATTTAACGAATGAAAAATTTCCAAGTTACTTGTGGCATTTCACGACATACTTCTATTTTGTTTCAAAAAAATCTTAAATGTTATCTTGATAGTATAGGTTTTTTTTTAGTATGGTATAGGTTTTATGGGTTTTACTAATAAATAAATTAAAAAATAAATAATAAAAGCTGGAGTGAACATAGTACGACTGAAAAAGTCATGTTACAAATTGAAAAAAATTAAATATATAACTCTAAAAAAATATTTCTAAAAAATTTACAATGGATATAACGCGAAAAAACAGCAAAAAACCTCTAATAAGGTGTCACATAATCGGTTAAAATAAAACTAAAAAATGACGATCATGAGATGATGTTATATTGGCAAAATGAAAGACTAAAATATATATGAACTAATGATAGTTGTTGTAAAGGAAGTTTAAATGGAATTGAATGAAATTAAGAACCTGATCTTGACATTTAAGTTACACTTTGAATCCACAGTTTATCTAAAAAGCTAATTAACTAATATATTTTTGAGTCCGTGGTTATAATCGCATACCAATAAATTAATATTTCATTTCTTTGAGTTTATCAATCTCGCCACCAACGCGTCTGATTTGTTCCATCAGATCATCATTAGTTCCGTAGTTGGTCTTGTTTCTACCAGTGCTGTTTGGGTGGTTGAGCTCATACTCCTCCATCACCCTCCGTTCTTCTTCTTCTTGAGCTTTGTTAGGAGGAATAACGAGAGCCAGTTGTGTTTCTGGTTGATAGGGTGGTGGTGCGGTGGGGTCTTTTGGCACTTCTTTTGGCGGCTCTTCAGGTTGCTTGCATTTCTTCGGTGATCTGTTTGTTACCTTGTATGTATTTCTAGTTCCAAATTTTCTGAACGTGTTGTGTCTTGTTACTGAGCGTCTGAAAGACTGGTTTCTGTATGGTGTTGATGAAATAGATTTAATAGATGTATAATTTCTTTTTATTCAGAATTGATGTAACAAATTTTTTGTAGAATTTAAATTTTTTATTTTCAGAGAACAATTATTTAGAAAATTACTTTTTGCAGCATCCACCGAGAACAGCCAGAGGAACGGCCAGCAGAGCCCAGAGGGCATGCCGCTTGTCCGGACCCACGCCACTGTATGGAGGAACGCATTTGTAGAAGGCGTCGTATTCATAGCTGTCATTATTGCTGTGGCTTGCGTTGAAACTGAAGCTGCTGCTGCTGAAGCTGCTGTTGTCGAGTGTGTTGCAACTGATGCAGGATAATGTGATGTTTTCCAGCAGCATGCATTTCTCGTCTGGAAAACATTTTGTCTCATTGCACTGGCTGCCCTCAGCTGTTTACGGACATTAATTTATTCACGTTCTTAACATGTTTATAGAGTTTTGTAATGTTCTTGTTATAAAAGATGGAATTTTTTTCATGAAGCTGCAATTATTGAATTTATTTTTTAACTACTTTCTAAATTATGAATATTTAAAAATCACTATGAAATAATTTACATCTATAAACTATTTCGCAAAACAATTCTTGGTACCTGTCAGCCAGAGCAGGGCATGATCAACTACATACCCATCCAATCTGGAGACCTTTATATCTCGACTGTTGTTAAAGTAGGTCGTCAAATTTCTGCTGTAACATACAGCAATGTAAAGTAACAGTAATTTCTTATCTGTTAATTTTAGAGGAAAAAAATTTCATTTAAAAAAAATTTGTTTTTGAGCAAAAATTAATTTGATTTTAAAATATTGTAGCAAGTAAAAAAAAATATGTATACATAATATAAACATTTTGGATATTTGACACACACACAGAGATCAGTCATTGCAAGCCAACAGCAAAAAACCCACCATTGTTCTTCCCGCTGATAACATTTTTATACACAACTGAGATGTTGCAGGGTTCAAAAATAATTCTCTCCAACCAGTTTTCAACAGAAATGTTGTTGAATGTTGCTGCTGTTGTGATATTGTTCAACAAAATGAAACCCGAATAAATAGTCGTACTAGATGTCAACTCCCACAGCGTTTTTTTCAATGGGATCGCCGGCGTTGTTGAAGTCGTTTTCTTGGCTCCATCAACTTCAACGTCGGCTGATTTTCATTTGAAAAATGTTGGTTTCAAATTTAGTCAAGTATCGTCAACTATAGATACAAACGTTTACTATGTACATTCCTACTGTGAATATTAATTACTTTCAAGCTATTTATTAGAAATATGAGACGAATTAAATAGATATCAAACAAAACAATACATCAATCATTATTGATAACTTTAATTTGTTTCTTTTCATTCAAATCAAAAATGAAATTAATAAAATATACAATAAAATTAAAAAACTTGCTTATCATAAAATCAATCAACACATCACAATTAATATAAGACTAACCGATAGAAGCGTAGAAAACCTTAAAAAAAAAAAAAAATACATCCAATTAAACCACGTTTATTTGCTACAATAAAAATAAATATATTTTTTTCAATTCAAACAATAAACTCATGAAAAATTTATTTAAAAAATGATATAACCACATAACCACCTACATACTTACGATCAAAATGATATAGAATCTAGGCGATATTGCCATTGAAAAAATCTGCAATGTTAATTTTGACGAAAAAAAGCATAGGCAGTAGTCGTAGCTATAGTAAGAAGGCTCTCTATACTGCACTGTATTGTATGTACATGCAAAACTTCAATTCATAATCACGTTTAAATTGTGTTTCTCTCTCAGGTTCGTTCGCTTGTTACCTGCTTGCTACCTTTAAATAGCTGTGATGAATGGTACGCTGTTGTTGTTGCTGTTGTTGTAGTTGATGTTTTGTTGTTTTTGCTGTTTGTATAGTTGTTGTTGGGGTGGTTGTAGTTGATGTTGTTGTTTTTTTGTTGTTGGGTTTGTTGTTGTTGTCAAGTAAATGACTATAACATTGTTAATGTTACTACTACTACTACTACTACTACTGCTACTACTACTACTACTACTACTACTACTACTACTACTACTACTACTACTACTACTACTACTCTATTACTATTACTACTACTACTACTACTAACTACTACTCCTACTACTAACTACTACTGTTACTATTTTTACTGCTAATACTAATACTATCATTGCTGTAGCTTCTTTGTTTATTTTGGCAACTTCTATTACTACTACTGCAAATAATAATAGCAATAATAATATTAATAGCAATAATAATAATAATAATAACAATAACGATAACCACATGACAATATTGTTTTATTGCGCGCGTAAGACTAAGTAGAGACCGATGGGCGGTTTACTGTTCATCAAATAAGAGTTCTTTCTCGCGCATGAACGGATGCGTTCTTTTCTTTTGAAAACTTGCTTATTGGAGTTTGAGTTTGACTGAAGAATATTCAGATCAGACATTCTCATTTCTATGTTTGTTTGAATTTGGTTAGTTAAATTATGCATTATATAAATATCAATAAATCGTTTTGTATTGATAATATGTCAATTTAAGTATTCGTGATGTTACTGTTACTATAAATACTATTATTAGACTAGTATTATACTAAAAATATTATGGAAATTTATAAAATTATAAAAAAAACTCACAAACGCTTGACATTTTTATGTTTTCTGAAATTTATTGGCAAGAACGCCAGCTGTATGTTCGTTAACTATGAAAATCACAAATCTTCTTTTAATAATACATTCCACACAAACACTTCTCAATGGCAACCGACGATTTTTGCACTGTTTCTCTATAAATTCAAGCTGTACGGACGAACCAGAGAAAGAATATGTTACATTTTTCTAAATGAATAAAATTACTTTTACTTTTATTAAAGTTTTGAAAAAATCATTAGCGAAATGATATTCTCATCATTCTTATTAAAATTGTAACCAAAAACGAGTGTTCTTATGATCCGTTACTTACATATTTTTCAACAACTTATCTATATTCATCAATGCTTTGAAAATCATCATCGTCTTCTTCTACAAATGATCACACTTTCTTAATCATCATCATCACCATCATCACCATCATCATCATCATCATCTTCATCATCATGAATTAATTTCGTGATGATGAAAATGAAGATGGTGATGGAAAAATGATGGTGAATTGATGGTGGTAAACAATAATGAGAAATTAAAGGTGACGATGACGATGACGAAATAATGATGGTGGTTATATGGTGATGATAAACTAGGAAGAATTGAATATCACTACGATGAATTATGATGATGGTGACGCCTCCACTGATGATGAATTAATGATAGAAAAATGATGATTGAAAAATGATAAAAGTGGTGATGATTTAAGCAGATATAGTTACCAAGGACACTAGAATCATATGTTATTCTAGAAGTCATTCATATCAAATGTATAATGCTGCTACTGCTACGACTGACGATGACGATGATGACGTTCATATTGCCATTTGATGATAACAATGACGATGATAACACTGATAAAGTCCATGATGATAATGAAGACACAGATGATGAAGCTTAGGATTA